TATATATATATATATTTATATATATATACATACTGTATATATATATAGAAAATAGCTCAAATAAAATGGAACATAACACTGATTCTTATTTACTCCGTTAATGTAAAAAAAATAATGAGGAAGATAATGATTTTGCCGTACTGCAGCATTTAATGCAATGATTTTATGAACTTAAGACTTTCTGCTCCAATTTAAGACCTTTTTAGGGGGTTATTTATGGAAGGTTGAACAATTTTGAATCTAAATTCTAACCATTTTTGATGATAAAACATACTAAGATTATAAGCGCACCTCAGAAGGAAACATTATAAAATAATTTAAAAATGCATTTCATGACCACTTTTTAACATCCAGTAAGGTGTGACCAATTTGATTTAACGACTTGTGACCGTGGACCACAAAACCAGTCATAAGGGTCAATTTTTCGAAATTGATATGTATACATCATCTGAAAGCTGAATAAATAAGCTTTCCGTTGATGTATGGTTTATTAGGATAGAACAATATTTGGCCGAGATACAACTATTTGAAAATCTGGAATCTGAGGGTGCAAAAAAAAAAATAATCAAAATGTTGAGAAAATCATCTTTAAAGTTGTCCAAATGAAGTTCTTAGCAATGCATATTACTAATCAAAAATTACGCTTTGATATATTTACGGTAGGAAATTTACTAAATATCTTCATGGAATACATGAATGTATTGTTGGCTATTGCTACAAATATACCCGTGCAACTTATGACTGGTTTTGTGCTCCAGGGTCACATTTTAGTGAGCTGCCCACCTTCAGGTCTCTGTGGATCAAGCCCTCTTTGTGGATGTACTCCACGGCCTTCAGCACCTGCCTGTTGATCTGTGCTGCCTCCGTCCTCCTCTCTGGGTCATGAACATTTGAAGAGTTTCTTTTATCAATCCAGGCATGAAGCGTGTCTCCCTCACAAAACTCCATCTGAATGTAGAGGAACTTTGTTCCCGGGTCACTGCCAGAACTAAAGCCAGCAGACAGAGAGAGCAGCACAAATACACATGTTACAGCTGGTTGAAGGTAGAGACTGCAGTTTGTTTCAGAAAGAGTTGTTTTTGGTGATTTACTCTGAGAGGCTGTAGCTCTCTGAAGAATCGTGTCTGTACGTCGTGTCTTCGACCCAACATGAGTAGTAGCGGACGATGTTGACGTTATTAAACTTAGCCAAAGCACCGACCTCACGACGAGCTTTTCTAGGGAAATACAGTATATGACGACATTATATTAGGTACACTGCTGTATATTTTGTTTTAAAACCTAGTTATACATACTTTTTTGGCCATCATAGGCACACAGCCACTGTAAAGGCAATCTAAAATAGCAGGTATTGGGATGGTGTATCCTATAGGACACACATCAAGTTTTTGCAACTATCAAATTACATTAATTATTTAAAGACAAAGACGATATAACAACTTCATTGACTTACTTTGTACTCTTCACTATCTTCACTGCATAATATGTGTTCTCAAGCTTTCGTCTTGCCTTGAAAACACGGCCGAAGCCACCTTTGCCAATTGGATTTATTGAGTCAAAGTCTTCTAAAAACCTACAAAGATGAACATAGCAGCTTCAAAACAATGGATTTCTTAAGGAAAAAAGCTTTTTGAAAGCTATGCTGACTGACACAAAGTAAGCGGGTTATGACTCACCTTGACTTCATAGCTTGGTTTGAAGTTTGACCTCCAGATGGCTTTGCTGGGTTTTGTACATTCATGTTAGGACCAACCTGTGGAAAGTATTGGAAGAAGAAAATTCTACAAATAAGTCAATAAAAGTAAAACTTTTTTTTCTTGCGTTTGGAGAATTTTGGAACTGGCTTTATAAAAACATCCTATTTACCCTATTCTTATTTCTGCCAGATAAGAAAAAAAAGCTTTGATAAATCCTAATAATTATATAAAAAGTCATAATTATGAGATTCAAAAGTCGATATTATTATATTAAAAGGTTACAATTATGATATAAAAAGGCGTAATTATGAGAGGTGTATATTATGGTACTAAAATGGTAAAATTATGACATAAAAATAACCTATAAACTTAATTTTTATGTCATAATTTTGCCTTTTTCGCCATAAATTTGTCTCATAATATTGATTTTTTAAAATCTAATAATTATAACTTTTTATCTTGAAATTTTGACTTGTCATAATTATGATTTACCATTTTTTTCTTATGTAGCGGAAATGAGCTTTCACACCCGTTGAACTGGCCTCATTTTACAACATCTTTTTTTTTGCATTTATCTATTAATTTTGCAAACATTACTTTAGGGAGGATACTCATAAAGTAAAACATGCATGTCCCAAACTTCACATGCGTATATATTTTCAATCTTACTTTCTTTGTATTTTTCATTTGTCACAGAAAATGCAACTTTCATAACTTCATTCTGTTTTACTTTACAGTTCAGCTAATACTGTTTTGTACTCATTTACTTCACCATTATTGGCAAATAATGTTGCAATACCTCTTTACTCCCGGCCAGGCCATTTGGTGACAGATGAAAATTTGGTGCTAATCTAAAAGAAAAAAAAATTTAGCATGTTATTTTATGTCATTAATGACTGAAAAAAAAAGATATTATATACATAAAAACAAAATCTAAAAATGCTTACTTTATTTTCGGCTTCACATCCAGTGGACTCACACTCTGTAACAGATTGATTTCATACGTTTTTCAAATATATATAATACAATGAAATGTGTTTATGTTTTATGAATCGGATAGCCTCTAATATATTAGTGTGTTAGACACGTGAATATTAAAAAAAAAAAAAAAAAATTCCAAATGCTACCAATAACGCAGACAGGACTTACCGGACTTATGGCCATAGGAGAACTGACAGCAGATGAGTCTTTGAAGACAATGGAAGAACTTGAGCTGGGAGTTTCAGACGAGCTTTTTGAAGAGTGTTGTGCATCCTGAGATTTACTATAAAACAGATAAACAGTAAACGTCAACATATCTTTATATTATTATATGCACATAATATATACTTATATAAAGATGCATTGTTATTTTGTTAATTTAATCTTACGATGTCTCTTGAGTTTGTGAAGAGCTGTCATTTTCAGAACTCTGTTAATTCAAAACATGCATGTGCATTAATAAACATGGCATCATTGACATCAAACATATCTGTATTTCTGAAGCGTCTTGCCTGTGTGGTCCTTCCAGATTGCTCATTAATTTCGCTCCAAGCGTGCAGAGCAGCATGTTGCTTTGCCTCTTTTGCGCTCTTTCCTTGTCCTTCAGGGTATTCCTTCCCCTTTATGACAACTTTATATACAAACCTGAAAAAGAAAATTTCAGTTTTTCGTTTTCAATTCAAACTAATCTGCAGAGTTCAAGACTTACTCAGGGTTGTGAGGAGGGCCTCGTTTCTCCACTAATTTAAAATCAAGTGCACGTTTATATCTCTGGCTGTAGTCATTGAGACGTGCTATGTAGTTGCTGTCAGGGATGGTGCTTCGAGATTCATCAGCAAAACTCAAACTGGCACGGTCCAGGCTAGCACTTGAATAAAGGACAAGAAGTCAAAATTAACAGCTCAATATAGAGTATAGTAATTAAAGGAATAGTTCAGCCAAAAATGAAAATTAGCTGAAAATGTCATTGCAATTTATTGTATGGGAAAGCTTTCAGCTGGACTTTAATAAAGCCAATCTCTCCCGTGAACTGCCAAAATACAAGCAGCACATTACGTGTCCCACCAGAGACAGCACTATTTTGGATCACTGTTACACCACAATAAAGGATGCATATCACTCTGTCCCACGAGCTGCTTTGGGGCTCTCTGATCACTGTTTGGTTGATCTTATACCGACCTACAGGCAGAAACTGAAATCAGCTAAACCTGTATTAAGGACTGTAAAAAGATGGACTAATGAAGCAGAGCGGGATTTACAAGCCTGTTTCACTGCAGGAGCAGGAGCATAGGTACCCAGGCTCTATTTTAATAATTCTTGGAGATTTTAACAAATCAAATCTCTCACGTGAACTGCCAAAATACAAGCAGCACATTACATGTCCCACCAGAGACAGGAATATATTGGATCACTGTTACACATCAATAAAGGATGCATATCACTCTGTCCCACGAGCAGCTTTGGGGCTCTCTGATCGCTGTTTGGTTGATCTTATACCGACCTACAGGCAGAAACTGAAATCAGCTAAACCTGTATTAAGGACTGTAAAAAGATGGACTAATGAAGCAGAGCGGGATTTACAAGCCTGTTTCGACTGCATTGATTGGAGTGTTTTTGAAGTTGCAGCCACAGATCTGGATGAGCTCACGGAGACTGTAACTTCAAATATCAGTTTCTGTGAAGATATGTGCATTCCCACCAGGCCATTCTTATCATTCAATAATGATAAACCGAGGTTTACTGGGAAACTCAAACAGCTTCGTCACGCCAAAGAGGATGCTCCAGCCTCCAAGATCTTTACATCTCCAGAGTGAGGAAAAGGGCTAAAAAAATCACCTTGGACCCCTCACACCCAGCCCACTCTCTCTTCGAACTGTTGCCTTCTGGTCGGCGCTACAGAGCACTGACCACCAGAACAGCCAGGCACAAGAACAGTTTTTTCCCGCAGGCTATATTCAGCCTGAACAATTAAACTTTCATAATTATACATCGTCCATCACAACTGACATATTTATACACAGAATCTAAAATTTGTACACTTGTAAACTGCACACTTTGTAAATAACATATCTTTACATTTATTTAAACAATTAAATTTTTTTCATGTTCTTCTATTTCTGTATATAGTACATTAGTGTTATATTCCATCCCGACTGTTATGCCAATGTATGTCTGCACTATGTCTGTACTTTCTTCTGCTGGAAGCTCCTGTCGTCAAGTCAAATTCCTTGTGTGTGTAAACATACTTGGTAATAAAGCTCTTCTGATCCTGATCTGATGAAGAAACAAACTCATCCTAATCTCGGATGGCCTAAAGTGTGAGCACATTTTTAAATATAAGTCAATTACTGTCAGTCATCATGATGTTGTTTATCATTTACCTACGAGACGCAACCTCTGACATCTGTGTTCGATTGCTTTTGTCATTGAAGACCTTAAATGCCAAAAAATAAAAATAAAATGTCTAACAAAAAATAAATTAGAGCATTAGACAGTCCAAGTAGATAAATGCTGTGTCACCTCTGCATCTTGTGTTTTGAGTAGCTCTTCATAAACACATTTTGCCGCTGCTTCTTTAGCATCCTTCTTATTATTTCCATAAGCCTCGGGAAACTCTCTATCACCACAAACGTACTTACAAACATAAGTACCCAATCTGCAAAAGAGATAAGAGAGAATTAAATGTCATTTCTTGCTAGGGGCTGGAATTTATTCTGCAGATTGCGCACATTTTAATTTAAAAGGTACTGTACTTTTCTATCTTTTCTCAGCATGTGTGCAAACGTTTAAATACTCACTGAGCAGTGTTTCCTGGATTTGTGGACTCACAAGCCTTGAATAATAACTTGTTCTTCATTGAATATTCATTGAGCCAGCAAATATAATTTCTCTGAGATACAGTCATATTGTTGGGAGTGTTTTGAACAGATGACGTTGTCTGCAGTTAAAGATATATATATTAATTTTAAACAAATTATCTAGAATCTAGAACATAATTATTATAACAAAATAAATATGAAATTTGGTAACACTTTACAATAAGGGCCCATTAGTAATGCATTAATTAACAGTGAGCAATACTTTTGTTACAGTATTTATTAATGTTCATTAACGTTAGGTAATAAAACTATTCATTGCTTGTTCATATTAAAAATGAAAGGAATGGAAGTAACGTGTGGCCAAGTATGGTGTCCCATACCCAGAATTTGTGCTCTGAATTTCACCCACCCAAGTGCACACACACAGCAGTGAGTAGTGAACACACACACACTCACACACACGCACACACACACACACACACACACACACAGTGAACACACACACACACACACCCAGAACCTTCGGGTTACAAGTCTGACTCTCTAACCATTAGGCCACGACTGCCCCAATTATTAGCTCAAATCCATTAAATAATATTAACAGATACAAAATTTTATTTAATAATGTATTAAATGTTGAAATTAACATTAACTAAGATTAATAAATGCTTTAGAAGTGTTTTCATGGTTAGAACTGATGTATTATCACAAAATGTAAAAAACAAATTTTTTATGTATATTAATATTTAATAATATATATGTATTTCTTATATAGAGCACTCACAAAAATATATATTATATAGCATTTATAGGTTTTCAAAATATTTTTTAATTATTTTATATTTTAAATATTTTATATTTTAATTAAAAATATTCCAAAACTTATCAATGCTTTATAATATTAAATATTGTGTGTGTGTGCGTTATTATACATAATACTATATATGTATATAATATGTATTTTATAATGTTTTTGTAAAATAAACATAATATTTAATATTATACATGCATAATAATTTATATAGAGCACTCACAATATATAAGAAAATATATAAGTGAATAAATAAATGTGTGTGTGTGTACATATATAAAAATAACGTTATAAGTGAAAATATGGGACCCACTTTATATTAAGTGGCCTTAACAACTATGTACTTACATTTAAATTAATAATTTGGTACAATGCACTTATTGTGTACATACATGTTTTTACATTGTACTTATATTTTAAAAATACCTGCATGTAATTACATCTGTAATTTATTTCTGTAATTACATTTATAATTACACAGTTGACCCATCCCTTACACCTTAACCCACCCTTAAACCCACCCATACCACCAAACCTGTCCCTAACCTTACCCCTATCCCACCTTAATAGCAGCAAAAGTGTTTTGCAATACAATATGAACACAATAAGTACATTGTACTTAATTTTTGATGTAAGTACATAGTAGTTAAGGCCACTTAATATAAAGTGGGGCCAAAATATGTATTATATAGCATTTCAATATTTTGAAAAGCTACACACACACACAAATAGTGTGTAAATAATAGATTGTTTAGTAAGTAAATAATATTTTTGTAAATATATATAGCATATTTGTACTTACAGGTTCAGTATTTTGAGTGTTTTTTATGCCATCATAGGCGTTCTTGGCAGCATTTAGCTTTGCCTCTTTCTTGGATTTCCCAGTGCCCTCAGGATACCGCTGCCCATTAACTATAGCCCTCATAGTGAACCTGAGAACACAGATTTGATTAGAAACAAGTCAATAACAATAGTTTTATAATAATTTTCGTAGTATCACTTGCACAAACAGCACAGACACTGTTCGTCCACTCATTTCTACTGTGCAGATGAATGCTAGCTCCACACGTTTTGTTGTGACTCGGTCCATCTGTGGATCCCTCCTCATACTCCACGGTGCACTGTGTCTTCTGCTGGTACTCGTTCAGCTGAGAAATATAATTCCCTGACAGAGACTCCATTGCACAGTTAAAAAATGAACTAAAAATAACAGTGACAGAAGTTCACTACGTTGATCAGCACGTGAGCGCCACGCAGAACGTCATATCTTCAGCGGACGACCATTAAAAGACGCATTACCGTGTTTTTAAATCAATTTAACACGGTACTAACAGTGTCAGTTCACACCGACATCGATCACAGACACGAGTTCACTTTCATTTCTTCGTATCGTTTAGATCGATAAGTTTCGATTTCCGGAATACAACGTCATCGCCAAAACATTGTATTGACCAATCAAAGCCCAAGCGTGTTGCTAGGCCACACCCACCTAAAAATTTACCTCTTTTTAACTGTAGGAGACAAAGAACAATGTATTTCCAGCTACATAGATTGAGAAATAAATGACCAGGTATAGTAATATAAATACGAATTTATGTTTTTTTTTTTTTTCCCTTGTTTCTGTAAATATGAAATCTGGCAAGTAACAGATAAATCAACAAAATATCATTCGTTTGATCTAAATGCTTAAAACTATACTATAAATATCAAACATAACTATAAAACCACAAGAACATTTTAATACCTAGAGGTGTTACGTACAAAACCACTTTTTGAATATTTATATTTGTTTTAGACTGGGAATAATGAATTGTTGGTCATCTACAAAAATCACGGTATTTTCACACAGTCAACAATGAATTAATCAATAAAAAATAATTAAATTAATAACTATGCAATCACAATGTTTGCGATTGGCCGAGGTTAAGTTTAACACAGAACCATTTAAGTGATGCATCAGGGTCAACACTGATATAAAACCACACAATTATAATCAAAAAATCAATGCGACATTTAATGAACGAATATGAAAATATAAATATTAAACACAGCTATGCAAAAACATCAAAAGCAAATTAAAAACAAGTGCTCCAGATTATTCCAGGTGGTCTGCTGCCGTGTCTCCAGGACAGTTTGAGCTCAAATCCTCCTCATCTGTTGAAGAACAGTTTATTTATCATTTATGTATCTGCTCAAACATTCATTATACTGTACGTTAACACTTCTTACCATTAAACGCCGTTCCACACCATATGCAGTAAAAATGAAGTCCTCGCAGATACGAGGTGAGAAACTGCAGCTTGTCTAAAGGCTGTAAAGAAAAGACGACAGAATAACGGTGCTTCAGAATAATAATGCAAAACAGTACTATCATTTTAATACACAGAGGCATAGATAAGGCACCTCCCATAATTAAATAAGTACAATTTTGGTGTCCAATTACAAGAGAGTAGATATATGAGGTAAATTATTATCTAATCAAAACTGAATTTTCAGCATCATTACTCCAGTCTTCGGTGTCACATGATCCTTCAGAAATCATTCTAATATGCTGATTTGCTGATCAATAAACATTTCTGATTATTATTATTATTATTATCAATATTTAAGGATTATTTGATGAATAGAAAGATCCAAAGATCAGCATTTACCTGAAATAAAACGTTAAACAGCAAAAATATTTCACAATATTACTGTTTTTGCTGTATTTTGGATCAAATAAATGCAGGCTTGGTGAGCAGAAGAGACTTCTTTAAAAAACCTTAAAAATCTATATATTACATAAAATATATATATAAATAATACAAATTAAAAATGAATTCTAAAAGGATGTGTAATGATTTATTGTAGTAAAAATTACAGCAATTTTACAAAAATTGTACTGTTGATTGCATTCGTCAAGCTCAAACATTCAAGCCTGTGAACAAAGTTATTGCAAGACAAATAATAAAACAATGAAAGTGTCATAAACTCACTGTGAGCTCCTCCTCCTCGTCACTTCCCTCTGGTTTGGTTTCCTCCTCCAGAAGCTCTTCCTCTTCATCTTTCACAACTTCAGACCAGTACCAGCTGTCTCTGGGAACACTGATGCCCTAAAAGAAGAATCACAACAGCAGACGAGGTTCAGAGATTTCTGCTGAAATGAAAGATCTTCAGATTTGTCCTCAAAATAGAGATACAAGGGGAAAAAAAGTCTTGCTGACCTTCTGGCTGTCGAGCTGCTCACAGGCTCTTCCTCAGGTCGCCCTGTGTTTGACGCTCTTCTCTTTCGGTTCTCTTGCGCACTTTGTAATAAACATGTTACTCAACACCACATCCAGACACAGAGAAGCTTAAAGCCTGACTTATGAAAAATCTGTTTGTTTGTTTTTTCAGTTTTTTAAGTTGCATTTGTGTTTTAAGTTTGCATCAGGTATTTATAGCTTATATATGTGTCATAAGGGTCAATTTTTCAAAATTGAGATTTATACATCATCTGAAAGTTGAATAAATAAGCTCTCCATTGATGTATGGTTTATTAGGATAGGACAATATTTGAAAATCTGGAATCTGAGGGATGTGTAATGATTTATTGTAGTAAAAATTACAGCAATTTTACAAAAATTGTACTGTTGATTGCATTCGTCAAGCTCAAACATTCAAGCCTGTGAACAAAGTTATTGCAAGACAAATAATAAAACAATGAAAGTGTCATAAACTCACTGTGAGCTCCTCCTCCTCGTCACTTCCCTCTGGTTTGGTTTCCTCCTCCAGAAGCTCTTCCTCTTCATCTTTCACAACTTCAGGCCAGTACCAGCTGTCTCTGGGAACACTGACGAGGCAGACGAGGTTCAGAGATTTCTGCTGAAATGAAAGATCTTCAGATTTGTCCTCAAAATAGAGATACAAGGGGAAAAAAAGTCTTGCTGACCTTCTGGCTGTCGAGCTGCTCACAGGCTCTTCCTCAGGTCGCCCTGTGTTTGACGCTCTTCTCTTTCGGTTCTCTTGCGCACTTTGTAATAAACATGTTACTCAACACCACATCCAGACACAGAGAAGCTTAAAGCCTGACTTATGAAAAATCTGTTTGTTTGTTTTTTCAGTTTTTTAAGTTGCATTTGTGTTTTAAGTTTGCATCAGGTATTTATAGCTTATATATGTGTCATAAGGGTCAATTTTTCAAAATTGAGATTTATACATCATCTGAAAGTTGAATAAATAAGCTCTCCATTGATGTATGGTTTATTAGGATAGGACAATATTTGAAAATCTGGAATCTGAGGGTGCAACAAAAATCTAAATATTGAGAAAATCGCCTTTAAAGTTGGTCAAATGAAGTTCTTAGCAATGCATATTACCAATCAAAAATTAAGCTTTAATATATTTACGGTAGGAAATTTACTAAATATCTTCATGGAACATGATCTTTACTTAATATCCTAATGATTTTTGGCATAAAAGAAAAATCGATAATTTTGACCCATACAACGTTTTTTTTTTGGTTATTTCTACAAATATACCCCTGCGACTTAAGACTGCTTTTATGCTCCAGGGTCACATATTAGTCTGATAAAGTGAAAATATGGAGAAAAAACAGCTCAGTTTATTCAGAGGCTCAAACTGAGCAAAAATATGCAACAAAAAGTGATGATATTCTGATAGCTTGTAATGTAAATCAATGAGATCTTAATAACAGTACAGCAGATACTTACATAAAATGATATAAATATCATTCATCGCTCTATATCTGCAATAATATGTCTTAGTAAGATGATATTTAAATGCTTAGTTTTATTATCAAAACAATGCAATACAATTCAATGAGGATTGAGAGATGAACAAATAAATGTTCCCCAGAAGCATAAGGCTGGAAGAACCTCATATACTTTGATTTAAGCCCGGTTTCACAAACGGGGCTTAGTTTAACCCTTGTGTGCTGTTCATATTTTTGTTATTGAGCCAGTGTTCGTGGGTCTGGCGGACCCGCTGCAGTTTTGGGTTTTTAATTCAACACAATCAAACAATTTTATGCTAAAATACTCAGCAGATGTTTACTTCATCCCAATTGCAATCAATATAAACAGCATATATGGTTAATATTTGCCCTTTTCCTTTGTTAGATCACATTTATGAATTCAAGTGCTACTCGTTTTTTGTTTGTTTTTTAATAAAATGTCATTTTAAAAAAAGAAAATCGATTATAATCAAGATATGAGTGGAAAAAAAATTCAACACATTTACAAATGAAACAAGGTTTTCATAACTATTAATGCAGTCGATTGTGTGTTTGATCATTTATAGGCCCTGCATATCAAATATGATACAGTAGCTTTATAGGGTTAAAACATGAGCTTGATTTGATGTCATCTGCAGGTTCACACCTGAAATCCTCTAATGATTTCTTCTCCACCTGATGTTTCATTTGCACTTTTCTCCTGTGATTCTGAAGCTCCTCGTCTGCTTTCCTCTTCTTGAGTTCTTCCATTCCAATGCCACCTCTGTCTGAAAACAGCACAAACACACACAAACCTCAGCGTTTCTGAACACTGTCTCACATGATCAACTAAACAAGACACTCCCAGCAGCTTGGATGGCTAACTATTGAAAAAAGAGTGGCACTTCTGAATCTAAAAATGGCACATAGAATTAAAAGAGCTCGAGTGTATTTTAATTCTTATCTTTCTCAGGTTAAATTAAGACATGGTCATTTTACTAGACAGAGCATTATGGATCTTAATTTCTGTATGGACAAAGGGCAGTGTGGGAGTGGAATAAGTTGCCTTTGGACATTAAGGTTATGACGGTTCATGAGGGTTTTAGTAAAAGAGTAAAAAGAATGTTTTTAGATGGGCTGTCTTAAATTTGACAGATTAGGATAACTGCACTGTAGTGAAGATTGTCTCTGTTTATTAGGTTGGCTTGAGAAAGCTAAGAATCTGCTACTTAAGCTTTTTATTCTTCTTCTTCTTAGACTAAATTTCTGAACGCTACTCCTCCTAGAGCTTTCAAGCCAGAACCACCAAACTCAGCCCAGCTCTTCAGACTGATCTGACTTAGTGTGCTTTGTCTTTTCAGACTGATCCGACTTATGGTTTTCATAAAAATTAAGATTAAAAATCATAAAAATCCCATAGACTTACATTGACGGAATGTTCAGATGAGCCAAGACTATTCAAACTCCAACCGTCAAAATTTAAATACACTGAAGCCCATTGATTAGACTCCATTAAGCTTCCCTTCTATATACTATTTCTAATCCATTTAAACTCATTCAAACTCATCTATCTATCTATCCGACAACATGCTAGTAGCATGCTAAACATGCTAGTAACATGCTAATCATGCTAGAAACATGCTAGTAACTTTCTAATCATGCTAGCAACATGCTAGTTACTTGCTAACCATGCTAGCAACATGCTAGTAACATGTTAATCATGCTAGAAACATGCTAGCAACATGCTAGTAACTTGTTAATCATGCTAGAAACATGCTAGTAACTTGCTATTCATGTTAGCTACATGCTAGTTATGTGCTAATCAGGCTAGCAACATGCTAATCATGCTAGAAACATGCTAGCGACATGCTAGTCACTTGCTAATCATGCTAGCAACATGTTATCAACATCTACCTAATCTAAATTTTCAAACTTCAGGCTTTTACAACTGCTTTAAACTTTCAGGTGAGGCTTTCTCAAGCCAACCTACAGTTTGTCTGGACAAACTTTTTTATCTAGTTGTAATTAGTATGAAATGTATGCCAAAAATGCCTGTCGTCACGAAAATGTTCTTCTTCTAATATCAAGGACCACAATGGAAATAAGTCTTGTTACTTTATCGTGTTATCCTTGACAAAGAAGCGTAATGCAGATGTATTGCCACTTATTATGTCTAATAAAACTCAAACTAACCTGTTTTGATGTTCAGAGGAACCGGCTCGACTCGTCCAGCACCTGCAGCATGAGAACATTTTTAATGCACACAAAACTACATTATGTTTTTTGTATTTTTTTTTTTCCAAAACAAACATTCCATTTAAAAGTCTCAATCACTGACCCTCTTTCCCCAGGCCTTGTCCTGCTTTATATCCCATCTTCTGCAGTAACGCAAAGCCTTTATTTTGGCTGCTTAAGGAGCTCTGCAGCGCGGCCTCCCGACTCTCTCGCTCCTGCTCTTTGAAGCTCTTCTGCCGGTTCTGTGTGTTTTTCTCTTTCCGAAGAGCCTCTTTTTTCATGGCTTCCTTCACACGCTTCACCATCGGGACGCCAGGCCGAACATCTGGGCTGATAATGTGTAAAGAGCATCAAAACAATTCAACAAAACATCATTTGTGACCCTGCAGCACAAAAGCAGTCATAAGTCGCTGGGGTATATTTGTAGCAATAGCCAAAAATACATTGTATGGGTCAAAATTATAGATTTTTCTTTTATGCCAAAAATCATTAGGATATTAAGTAAAGATCATGTTCCATGAAGATATTTTGTAAATTTCTTACTGTAAATATATCAAAACTTCATTTTTGATTAGTAATATGCATTGCTAAGAACTTCATTTAGACAACTTTAAAGATGATTTTCTCAATATTTTGATTTTTTTGCTCCCTAAGATTCCAGATTTTCAAATAGTTGTATCTCAAATATTGTGCTATCCTAACAAACCATACATCAATGGAAGCTTATTTATTAAATTTCTCAACTGGTTTTGTGGTCCAGGGTCACATATAAGTCACAGTTAGCAGCTGTTTATGTTATTTCGGACATAAGTGAGCTGTGAGAATTGGGAATTATAGATGTTGAGAGCCTGAGCTGAAACATTTGTATTTCTTTTCTGTATTTCAAGGTTTACAAGCATATTCACCGTCATCATACATTGTAAAAAATTTCTTTTCAAAGAAAATTTTACAAGAAAATACGATTTCAGGTTTCCTACTTAAAAATGTCACGCTTAATTCAATGTGTTTCTTTGTAATTATTTGTGAGATTCTGAGTGAAACTGTTTCAAAGTAAATCCTACATCAATTTCAGTATACAGAGTTTACACTAATTTTATGCATAAAAAAATTAAATCATACTATAGTTAAAAGAAAACCACTGTACATGCCCAAAATTATGGTATTACCATGTTTTGTTGTTATATTTGTTTTGATGTGCATGACTTCACACCATTATTTGTAGCAGTTTGGATTAATTCAGTAAGAATGAATTATCTGAGGTACCTAAAGTACATCATCCACTCATTTAAAAACATGTCAAATGTTTGTTTTCTCATAAATACAAATATTTATCTCTAATGCACAGCAAACACCACTCACTGAGACTGTGAGCTGCCATTGGAACATAATAAATAAATAAATAAATAAAATAGAATAATTAAATGTTATATATTAATAAATATTATACATAATTACACACACACACACACACACACACACTCACATACATTTATATATATATATATATATGTGTGTGTGTGTGTGTGTGTGTGTGTGTAATTATATATATATGTGTGTGTGTGAGTGTGTGTGTGTGTGTGTAATTATATATATATGTGTGTGTGTGTGTAATTATTAGGGTATTCAATATCATTTATTCATAGTTCAGGCTGTTATTGAGTAAAATAAATAAATAAAATAATTAAATGTTATATATTAATAAATATTACATATAATTACACACACACACACACACACACACACACACACACACACACACACACATATATGTGTGTGTGTGTGTGTGTGTGTGATTATTAGGGTATTCAATATTATTTATTCATAGTTCAGGCTGTTATTGAGTAATAATAATAATAATAATAAATTACTATTCTAAAGTTTAAATACACTAATAGCTTTTAGTAACTCAGAAATATTTGTTGTGCTTTCTTTAATTTTTTAAATAATACTTCCTATTTTAATACAGTCAACCAACTTTAGATGATGGAGAGAGTCTCTTAATATGAAATCAAAATTTAAAAATTTAAAATTATTTAAAAATTATTTAATTGCAATAATTTATATACTCTATTACAAATGTATTCCGATAATATTTCTATAATTTTTATATTATTTAATCAAAGACCAGGATGTTTTTAGAAGTGATAACAACAATAACATATGCGGTTTGTTTACAATGCAACACATTAAAGAAAAGACAAAGTCCTTGTTTGAATAAATATAACTTTATTTTCAAGAAAAACAACTATTGTACATTTTCACAAGGTAGGTATTTGCATTTATTTATTTATTCTAATGACTGTATAACAATACATTGGCTTTGTAAACTTCCACAACAACTTATAATATCCAATATAATATTGAATACATAATCTTATTAATATAAGATTGTCATATTGCTCTACAGAGGATTACCTGAAGCAGCAGTATTCATTATATAAACAAGACAAAAGTGAATTTTTTCCTTCCACATGCAGCGTAAGAGAATTTAGATCTCTTTTAGAGAAACCAATTCTTCCCATTCTTGCATCGTTCTTTATTAAATAGATTAGCAATAGATTTGATCAGTTTAACAACGATTTCATTTAGGATCAGATGACAGTGACTAAATCTTTCATGCTTTCTTTATTATACTGAAACATGAAACAATAGCAGAAGTTCATGTGTTAAATAGATTTGTTGAATAAAACCAGCTGAAGCTCACATTCACAGCTGGTAATGCAACAGACACACAAACTAATCAGTCTAATCAAAAGACCAGATTCAAACGCTAAGGGCACAACAGCCCAAAAAAATTACATATAATTGCATAATGCCTCAAATGGCACACATTTCATCATAATTAAAGGAAAAAATCATGTGCAAATAAAGTTAAATGCAGTGAGGAAAAACAACCTGTTCAGATGCTCATCTATCAGTATATCCAAATACAGTTCAGCCAAAAACTTTACTGAAAATGTGCTCACCTTCAGGCCGTCCAAGATTAGGATGAGTTTGTTTCTTCATCAGATTTGGAGAAATGTAGCATTGCATCTGTGTCTCAGCAATGGATGCTCTGCAGTGAATGGGTGCCGTCAGAATGAGAGTCCAAACAGCTGATAAAAACATCACAATAATCCACAAGTAATCCACAGCACTCCAGTCCATCAGTTAACATCTGGAGAAGACAAAAGCTGAAACAAATCCAGCATTAAGACATTTTAACTTCACTTCTGGCCAAAATACGAGTCCATATTCCATAATAATGTTTCCTTCAGTGAAAAAGTCCATCTCCTGTTGTCTCTCACATCAAAATCCAGCCACATATTTGACCCGGGACCACAAAACCAGCCATAAGGTTCCATTTTTTGACACTGAGATTTATAAATCATCTGAAAGCTGAATAAATAATCTTTCCATTGATGTATGGTTTGTTAGTATAGGACAATATTTGGCCGAGATACAACTATTCTATTAAATTATCTTCTTAGCAATGCATATTACTAATCAAAAATTAAGTTTTGATATATTTAC